CATGCATGGCCCTGCTCCAGAAGTGAGCCACTGCGTGTGGGGGCAGCCAAGCTGCTTGTTCCCAAATGGCAAGAACACAGAATGCCCAGCCTCCAATGGACCCTCCTTCCTGGCTTTTCAGGCCATCTCTGAGGGGAGGAGCTAAACCACAGCTGGCTGCGGGCGAGGTTCAAGCCCCTCCGCCCCCAGCAGGCCCTGCGCCAGATGAGGGGGCCACATGCTTGCTTCTGAATGAACAAGGGATGGCCAGCCCCAGACAGCACATTCAGTGTGTTGTGCCATCTCATCCCTAAAGCGTTCCGAGCAGGGACGTGGGAGTCCCAGAACGGGGCGCGCAGGCCTTCCGCACAAGGTCAGGCCGTTGCTGCCGGCGTGCCCAGAAGCTGCCCACAGTCCTGAAGTTACAGGTGCATGGATCACGGGGGTCCTTTAACTCGTCTTGGCTCCATCTGGCCCAGAACCAGATAATGCCCAGGGTGGCCGTCAGCTGCACTGCACGCTTGTTCCATTTGCAGAGAGCCTTTTCCGTTAGGAACTGCGATGCGCCGCAGGGCTCCTCCTCTTGCGGGAGCAGCTGAGTGCGTTGGAGTTACAGAGAAACCGAAAACGCCGGGGCAGCGACGGAATGCAGATCCTTGCTGCAAGACCAAGGAGCTTTGGGCTCACTGAGATGGCTGCTGAGCCTCTGGAGCACATTAAAGGGATTCCTGCAGCGCTCGGCATCGTCCAGATGCAACACGGAATGACTTCAGGGCAAAAAGAGGGACTCCTCCCAAGGGAACCACCCTTCACTGCCTTGCAGACTTCATGGTGGGCATGTCGTGCGCGGAGCCAGCTGGTGCTGGAGGTCAGACTAGATGGCCCAGGAGGTCCCTTCTGACTCGCTCTGTTTCTATGTTTCTATGGCGGGTTTTGTACAGAAAGCAGGTACTGGCACCCCAGAAGATCCAAACGGAGCTGAATGATGAGGCGTGCTCAATCCTGGCAGCAGGACTCTTCAAAAGGAGGCTCCCGAAGCAGCGGTGGCAACACCGAACGGCACCTTCCTTGAGCAACGCAAGAAATGGAAGACCGAGCTCTCGTCAACTGGCCTAGATTTGCACAAGGAAATAGATTTTTGTCCGAGCACCAGCTTCTGAAACAACATGTAGCATTTTCAGCTCTAACAGCCATTACAGCATGCGTGGATTCCATCGTTCGGCACCAGAAGCAAAATTGAGCAGCCGAAGAATCCCAACATTCATTAAAAAAAAAAACGGTTCCAGTCCTTATGAGTACAAAGGTCAGCTTGAAAAAAACATGTGGACAAGAGCAGGGTGAAGCCTTCAAAAGCAGCAGAGCAGGCTCCAAATGGTTAGGAGAGGAGGGTTTCCTGGAGCAGGCACTGCATTGCCTTTGGAGCTCCTCAGACCAGACAAAAGTAAACTCAATTATGCAACAGAAGAACGTCAACCGGTATTTTAAATGCATTTTGGGGGGCTGCAGAAGTCAGATTTCCTTGCACAAAACAGAAGGAGAGAAAGGGATCGCGTAGCCCAAACCACCGCAAGCATAGCAGCAGCAGCAGCCACAACCACACAATTACTTTGGAAAGCAGTCAGACATCAATTCTCCGGTCCACTTGGATTTCAGCCTCTGCCCCATTTGTGCTCAGCCGGAACACGGGATGGCCAGTTTGTTTATTTATTGCAATTTATATCCTGCCTTTTTCCTACAAAGGGCTCAAGGCAGCTTACATCATTCTCCTCCTCCGTCCTATCCCCACAACAACCCTGTGAGGTAGGTTGGGCTGAGAGCCTGTGACTGGCCCAGAGTCACCCAGCTGGCTCCATGGCTGAGTGGGGACTCGAACCCGGACCGTCTGAGTCCCAGTCCCAGGCTCTTCACCACTGCACCACACTGGCTCTCCAGTTTGGCAAAGAAAGGGAAGGGCCGGAAGCACCGGGCAGTGGCAGAGGGAACCTCAGGGTCATCTGGTCAGGCGTTCCAGTGCGGCGAGCCCTCCGAGTGTGGCTGGACCGGAGGCGCATGAGCAGTGGAGCGCATGCACGCCGGGGGCCGTTGCTCAGGGCTTTCCCACAGCGCCGTGGAGAAGCTCGAGGCCAGCATGGCAAGATCCCCCAGCGGCCCCGTGCTGGGCACCACTGCGACCCACTGGGCGAGTGGCCGTGGGTTCTCCTCTCCATTTGGCGCAGGGGAGGGGGGAGGGCAAGAGAGGGAGCCGCAGCCACTGCCCCTTGCCGCCGTCCCCACTGGTTTGCCACTGGTGGCCTCACTTTTAGCCCACTTGCCACGGGGTCCCTCCCCCAGCAGAAACATGCCAGGGATCCAAGGAGAGCCGCCAACCGCTGGAGGATGCAGGTCCCCAGCACCAGCCTGGTCAAAGCCACTCGCCGGAGATTCACGGCGCTCGCGTTTTCTCAAACTCCGTAATGTTATTCTCCTACCATTAATAAATGCCATGCGATAGGACTCCATTATTGGCCAATTAAAATGAAATTGATATACAGGTTTGCCTGGAAGAAATTAAGCAAAATATTGGAGAACTTAAATGACTAAAACAGCAATCAAGCTGCCGGCAAGGATTAACGGCGCGTCCCAGCCATTACTCTCCGCGCGCTGTGTGCGTGTGAGGGCTACGCAATCTAATCAGGGCCGTCAGATTTACCCGTCCAGCCACTGGGCCTGGCGATGTTTTCTGCTTGGGAAATGTATCCGTGCAGGGGATTACATCGGCACATTCGTTAAGTCTGATTTAGAGGGGCTAGTTTGTGACCCTGAGCGCTCGGTCTGCTCCGGTGGCCGTGCGCGTGGGGACGGCTTTGCATCATTGCGCTGGAGCACCCGTCTGCGGGCAGAGCCTCTGCTTCCCGCAGGCGACTCGTGGCCGCACCACACGACGCTGTGGAGACCGTGGTCCAGGCGCGCCACGTGCGGCACGTGGCCGAGCAGCCGTCAGATTAAATCAGTCACGCGAGCCAAGCTTGGGGCCATTTGTCTGCTTTCGGTGTTGGCCATCGGAAATGCCAGAACAGCAGCCACACACCAGCCAGTCTAGTTCGGGGAACGCCGACCGGCAGAAGAGGGAAGGCTGGCATTCGGGTTTTGCTCCCTGGTCTCCCCGTGCCACCCCGCCCTCACTCCGGGGTCTGCTCTGTGAAATGGGAACAGCGGTGGGGCTGATCTGAAAGCCACAGCATATCGGTTGTGACAGGATGCTCTGGAGCGGCTGAGCCGAGTCCTGCTCACAAACGGGGTCACCCCTTGAGGGGAGAAGCAGAGAGAGAAATGGTCCAAGTAGTCCTTTTGGGTTGAAACTGTGATGGGTTTCACCCTGGGATACGGTCAATCCACCAACCAACCGACCAATTAAAGCTCGGTTCCCTCCCCAGGGAGAAATGACAGACTCCGCAGACACAGACGGACGGAGGCAAGCCGTGAGGCCTTCAGTTCTGGCTCGCAGCCGTTCCTTCCACAGACAGAACTGGGCATGGAGCTCATCGCGACCGCCAGGAAGTTGCACTTGGCTGCTTTGGTGGAGCTTATTTATGATCTTGTGCACCCCAGGTGCATAGCATTCGTGCCACTGTGATATGCTGGCCCCGAAGCAAAATGTGTATGCATATGGCGACCGATGATTCAAAATAAAATAAAGCTGTTTTTCTCGAGACAGCCAGAAAGGTTTGGGCAAAAGTAACCAATGGAAGCACAGCATGAGGCTATTTTGACTCACCACAGCAGTACCTTATGGTACCCGGAAAAGGGCAGAAAGCAAGGGCAGGCATGTCATGAGCGGAGCTGGCTGGAGCCAGGGTCAGACTAGATGGCCTGGGAGGCCCCTTCTGACTCGCGGTTTCTATGTTACCATTCCAGATGGCTGCAAGTGCCACAGCCAGGACACATGGCCCGAGGCAGCTCCGCTGGGGTCACACCCGTGGCCAGAGCCTGCTCCGCACCCTGCAGCATCAACTGGCTAGCCATGCAGTTCGCAGTACGGCCAGCAATGAGCACCGCTTCCCCAGCGCTGCTTTATTTGGAAACACACTGCCCCTCCCTGCCCAAAGCCTAGAGGCAGGTAGAGCACCCAGCCCCAACGGCCCCAACGGCCAGGGTGCAGAGGGCAAGTACGTGCTGGCTGTTAAGGGGCCAAATCCAGGACTAGGGGTGTGTCAACCGGCTCGACATGGGGCCACGCTCCCCGACAGGCCAGGGGAGCCGCCTGGCCCGGCCCTGCGGATGTCAGCACAGACAGAAGCCGTGTTCAAGGGTGTCTGTCCTCGGCTTTGGCCGCTTTGCCAACTGTGTCCCCTCCTGGAGGAGAGTGACCAGAAAACTGCAGTGCATGTGCTGGCAACCTCTAGGCTCAATTTCCGCATGCAGCCTTTGCAGGGCTACCCTCCTGCCTCTTCAGAAACTGCGACTCATCATGAAAAGGCATATCTCACCAATATTAAAGTCTCTGCGCGAGCTGCCAATAGGTTTCTGGATGCGGTACATGGTGCATTGGGGATCACCTTTAAAGCCCTCCATGGCTCGGGTCCGAAATACTTCAGGAGCACCTTTGCCCATACCTTCCGCCTCACCTGCTAAGGTCGTCTGGGGATGATCTCCTGAGGTTTTCCTCTGTAGGACTAATGCCTGTTCCCCAGAGTTGCCCCTGAACTGTGGGACGGCCTGCGGGAGAGGCGGCTCGAGTATCCAGTCCGCTGCCTTTGAGAGGGAGCGAAAGACGTGCCTCTTCCGCCAGGCCTTCCCAGGTCAGCGTTACTTAATGTGCTTGTTCTTCGTTGAGATTGTAGCTCTTGTTGCTTCCAATCCCTTGTAAACTGGCCAGAGCCTATGGGATTCGGGTGGTATATAAAAATAAATAAAATATCTTCCATGTAAAGAGTAGGAGCTGCTGCTTCAGGAGGAAGCACGTTTGCTTTGCCAGGTTCAACATTTGAAAAGGAACAGCAATTAAGAGGACGCTTGAAAACCTTATTTTCAACCAAACTTACAGGATCCATGTCCCACGATAAACAAGTCCTTGTATTTGGGGTTCCTGAAAGAGAAGGAAATGCGCGGCCATCACCAGCAGCCTGGTCATCTGGCCGATACGCATAGCACTGCACGCAGCTTGGAAGAGGGGTGGGAGACTAGAGAGAGGCCCGTGTCCCCAGGCAGCCTCATGCACACAGCTCAGAGGGCTGACGCGGCCTTGTACTCACAACTCGGGCAACCTGGGAAGGTCAATCTGATGGCGGCCACTGAGTGTTTATGGGTGTGAGCGGTTCTAGCTTAGTTTGGCGGACAGGATTGCAGAACGCTCAGAGGTGGTCACTCTGGTCCCTGCGCAACAGCCGCGTGGGGAGGGGAAGAGACTCCTCCCGGCAGCGACACCGGCACGGCCACCGTGCCGTCTGAGCGGCTCATTCCTGCACAGAAGGCCCCAGATGGACCAGCTCATACAAAGTTTTATTAGCCAGCGTGCCACAATAGTCCTGTGCTAGTCATTTTGGCCTGGGGAGAGGGGGTGGGAAGAGAATGAAAGGGAAAGCCGGGTTTTATCATTTTCTACAGGTGTAACCATGTCCGTCTGTTATAGTCAATTTAAAAGGAATTTAAGACCTACAGATTTGTTGCAATAGAAGCTTTTGCAGACTGGAGCTCACCTAGTCTGAGAAAGCCTATAAACCGACTAGTCTTTCAGATGCTACAAGTTTCATATAATTCTTGTAATATTTCTTTGCTTAATCGCTGACAGGCAATTCCAGAGTAGGCCTCCAATGGTGGGCCCAGGCCATTCGCAAGTAGTAAAATTGCGCCTGGCAAATATATGTTTGCTACATTACTATTTCAAACGTAAGCCGAAGGATTTAAATTTACTAAAAATGTACACACTTTTCTGCCCTCTGCTTGGGCTCGGAACATCTACTGAGTGATATCAAATCATGCGCTGTTTGCAGGGGCCTCTAAGCAATTCACCTGCAAGGAACAGCTGCAGGCTGCAAGGACCACACTCACCAGCAGAGGGCGGTGACAGCCAGCCTCTTGGCTTTATCATACTGAAACTTCCATAAGGGAAGAAGCGTCCCCAGGTTGTCTCTGTATTCGTCCGAATTATCTTCGTAGTATTTGAAGTCTGCCAGAGAGAAACACATACAGTTCACCTGTGCCCGGCTGGCACAGATAGCCTATGATCACGGACAGTTCTCACATTAACACAGACACAGAGCGAGTCAGAAGGGGCCTCCCGGGCCATCTAGTCTGACCCCAGGCTCCAGCCGGCTCCGCTCACGACATGCCCACCATGTGCATGTCCAGCCTGTCCTTGAACACCCGCACCGATGGGGCCTCAGCCACCTCCCGTGGAGATTGAGAGGTTGTTAATGCTCCACTCAGGTGTGCATATGTTTAGGCAAGCTTTAATACACCAAAAATCACGAGCAGGGGGAGAAGTTTGAATGCCACACTCTGTTCTTAAAATGCTGGTTTTCTCCTGTGCTTCTTTGGCAGTGCTCTGAGCGGTTTTTGAGATGCTTGAAAGTCTGAAACCACAAGTTGCCTTGGAGGTCCCTCTTGGGCCAAAGGGCAGCTCTCCGGCTGCCATCCTAGGCAGGCTTTGACAGAAAGCCCCGCAACTCAGCACGGTTGCCTGGGCCACAGTGTACACCCGTAGTACACTCCTGTACCTATAGTGTACAGGAATGCACACTTACTCAGAAGTGCATCACTAGAGGCTGCTTACACAAGGGCAACAGTGACTGCATAAGCAGCGCCAAAGGCTGGGAAGCGACCGAGAAGACTTCCGCGCCCTCACCCTGCCTGGACGCCCCCTGGGAGCAGGCAAATGGAGCCAGCTTTGCAAAAGCTCCTTTTCCCTGCTCCTTCCAGAGGGTCTCTTGGCTTAGGCCCCACGTGAGCAGGAGTCCCGTGTGAGCTGGAGAATTCCACACGGCGCGTCACGCAGTGCTGCTCATCATCAGCATGTATTGTAAGGAAGGAAGAAGGACGGTGCGGCGGCCGAGCGAGAGCACGCTGGGAACGGGGCTCCCGGCGGCTTGGCCCCCCCTCGCAGGCGCCCTACCTTGGGCAATATCATCAAATGTGTTCTGATTGACCATCCGCTCCACTATCTTCGCCGCCTTGGCCACCTTGGTGATGTCATCACTCTGTTGAACAAACAAAAGGAAGGGAAGGGAAACAAAGGCTCTTCAATGGTGTGACGGCGCGATGGTTGCAGGGCCGGCCTGGGAGGTGGGCGACCTGGCCTTGCATCTCCACTTTGCTCAGCAGGGGACTCTCAGCCTGAACTACCTCACAGGGTTGTTGTGAGGATAAAACAGAGAAGGGAAGTGTGGAAGGCCGCTTTGAGCCTCGCAGGGAAACGGGCAAGATATAAATGCAGCAAATCAAATAAAAATGAGTAAGGCAGTTAGAAGACGGCATACTGCCACAACGCTGGAAGACAAGGAAGCCAAAACAAATGCTCTAAGCGGATTCCCCTGCCACTCGGCGTCTGCTGCCTGCCTGCCTGCCCGCCCTGCCCCGCCGGGCACCCCTGCGGAGGGGGGGCAGCCTTGGTCCACCCTCCCCTGCCTTCGGGACTGAACGGGGAGCTTCGCAGGAGTGCTCCCCTCTGGGGCCGTTGGAGGCCGCATCCCCGGAGGTGATCAGCCCGTGCCAGGGCTGCACCCCCGGAAGGCTGGCGAGGCTCTTCCGTTCCGAAGGACCACCGCCCTCCACCCAGGAATGCAAGGGCCATGCGGGAGAGAAGGGCCGCTGTTCAGCCGCTTCCCTAGGCGCAGGGGCCTCGCCTCGCCTCGCCTCCAGGACAGCCGCACACAGTTGCGCAAGCTGCCTGGAGACCAGCTCCGCGGTGGGAAATGGGATGGAAGGCTCCGACCTGCCGCTTAAGGTGGCACAGGCGGGACGCGTCCGTGGGAATGAGGAGTGCTGCGTGGGAATCGGGATGACAATGGCTGTCACCGAACAATTAGACGGGCCAAGGTACAAAAGTGCAGAACCTTCTGATCAGGGCAGGATGGGCCCAGCCTGTCCTGCGCACTTATGCAAGCGCATGAAAAACAAAGACAAAGCCAGCCATGACAAAGGCTCTTCGACGCTGCAGAAGGAAGGGGCACTAAGGGTTTGCCTGGGCATCTGCCTGTCTAGTCTGGAATATCTGATCTCAGCAGCAAAGGCCCTCCTCCGGGAGCCCTCCGGGAAAGACATCAGGGGGGTGAGTACCCGGAGGAGGGCCTTCTCTGCGGTGGCACCCCACTTGCGGAATGCGCTCCCCAGAGAGGTCCGCCTGGCGCCATCGTTATTTGTTTTTCGGCGCCAGGCCAAGACCTTTTCATTTAAACAATATTTTAACAACTGTTAATATTATTTATTGGTTTTAATTCTACAGCCAGGGTGAATCTGGATCTTATGTGTACTATTTATATGCTTTGTTTATTTATTGTATTGGAAGCTGTCCCGAGGCTCATGCGAATGGGACGGCATACAAACACTCCAAACAGACAAACAAACAAACCCAGGAGGGGCACGTGCTGCCTCCACCTCCTTCTCCCTACACTGTTCAGGGATTGCAGGAGCCACTGGGCAAGAGTCCATCAGGAACACCCGCAGGAGGCGGCCGTGGACGGGTAGAGAGCTGCGGAGTGGCTCCCTCGCCCTTCCTTCTCCGCCCCCTTCCTCCATTGCCCCCCATATTTGATTGCTTTATTTCTGTTCAGCAATTGTGCGTACTGCCGCGGGTGAGCAGCTATCTTTCCAGGGTGTGAGCACCCCAGAACCTGGCACTTTGTAAAATGCCAATCACACGGGAGGAGAAAGAGGACGGCAATGATGAATTTTAGTTCCATACTGCCCGATTGCCAGAGTTTTCTACAGCACATAAAACACCATAATGCAATATAAAAATACGAATGGCAGCGCATAAAACACAATAATACAATATAAAAATACAAATACCAATAAAATGTCACGTAATTCATGCCATAAAATTTAAAGGCAGACTGAAAACTAACTGTACACAGGCATGCTAAGGAATGCAGATGAAGACATAAGCCTGTCAGACGAGTGGACAGGAGGCGTCAGGACGCTTCCTAGGCCGGCTACGTGCCCCTCAGCCAGCCCCCTTAACCTGGTGCTGAGAGCACAGCAGAGTCGGCAGCGGGCAGAGCCCAGCGGGGAGCTGCCACTGAGAAGGCCCTGCGCCTCACTGTCACCACCCACGCCTCCCTCAGAGGCGGCCACTGGAGGCAGCCCCCGGTCTTGATAGCGCTGCGCAGGTAGACTGCGGCTGGGAGAGATGCTCCCCCAGTTATTGTGGTCCCAGCCCATGGAAGGCTGCATAGGCCAAAACCGGCACCCTGAATTGAGCCTGGAAGCAGACGGAGAAATGACGCGAGCAGGCCGGAAACGGCACTGTGTGTTCAAACCATCTGGTCCTGGGTATCAATCTGGCTGCTGCGCTTCGCACCAGCTGCAGCTTCCGAATGGCCTTCAAGGACAGCCCCGCGCAGCGTGCACCGCAGCAGTCCAGCCTGGAGATCCCCCGAGCCCAGATGGCCAAAACCAGGCCACTCCTGTCCGGACAAGGGCACAGTGGGGCAGGCACTCTGAGATGGCTCCAGAAGGACCCCGGGCCGTGGGTGATGACAAGGGCAGGGCCGTGCTGGGAGCCAGAGGGCCTGTTCCCACCCCAGAGTGCGCAGGGCTGCCCCCTCAGCGGCTGCCACTTATGAGCCTGTGCATCCCAGCGTGGGGCTGGACTCTTTCAATCCCAAAGGCGCCCTCGAAACCACGGCCAGGGCCGAGGGGCAAAGCAGCCACACACGGACAAGGCCACCACGCCCTTCTGGCACAACCCCAAAGGCTGCTTGGTGGCTCCAGGGAGGGGCAGGCGCCACCGAGCCGGCATTTGAAAGGGAAGGCCTCTCTGTGGGAAGCGGCTGCTGCGGCTGACACGGGGAAAGTCCGTGAAGACCAAGCAAGCATGCCTCTGGAGTTGGGAATATTATTTGTGCCGGTTAGCACACTCAGTTGATAGATTCCTACTCGCAATGCATCGATTAGCGTTTATCCAGGCCATTTGCAGCCGCGGTGAAAACAACCATGCTGCTCCGCGTTCTGTCCCGGCACCCCTGACCTCCGCTCGCTTCCAGCCAGGTGCCTCGGCTGGGCTTCCCTGCCGGCGATACCGTCCGCCCCGGTGCGAGATCACAGCCTCCGACACCAGGGGAAGTGCCGAAACGCTGCGCGGGGCCAAGCTGCAGGGCTGCGTGGCAGTAAAGCACCGTCCCGAGCCAATTAGCCCAGTCCAACAGTGAGGACCTCCCCATGTGTGGAGTACCAAAGCCACAATATGACTCTGATCGGGCAACCCACTGCGATGTATTCTACGTCTTATTAAAATGCATCTTCAGAGGAACAGATATGTCTAATTTATCTCCTTTTAAGATTCATTTGGAATTGATTTTCCCAGCAAATCTAGCTGACTAAGACGCTCATAGACTCTGAGGACTAGCTTACTAGCACACTTAATTCCTTCCTTCTGGGGATTTTTAGCTACGTTATTTTATACAACAGCAATAATATTAATGAAAGCATCCGTTATGACTGCATAATGGTCTGGAGCCAGGAAAATAAATGTTCTAACCCAGCCATGATATTCATTCTCCATAAACTCGTGTGTTTATCTCAGTGCAGCAGACTGTTTACAACACGATTCTTCTTTCATGGTCTTTTAATTACCTAGAAACAAACTATTGACATAAACAACACCCCCCGCGAAGGGGTCTCTGGGAAGCTGCTGGGGGAATAAGCCACATTGCCGAGAGTAAAGGTGATCTGGCCCAGAAATAGGATCCAGATCTTTAAAGTGGCAGCTAACTTTTCAGTGGGATCTTGGCAGGGCCAAAGAGAGCAGCAGTCTCAGCCCCTTTTCAAGGCAGTGATCACACAACCGAGGGTTCTCCATGTGGACCAGCTCCATGTGCCCAAAACTGCTGCTAGGCCGGAGGTGCGGGGCAGGCTGGGCGAGACCCTTCAAGCACTGCTCTTCCGCGTGCAGGGAATGTTGTCATACAGCCAAGCATTAAGGCAGGGAATCACAGACGCAGATTCTCAAGTACTGCCTTCTCAGGCAAACTCTGCCGCGTGTTTTTTGGGACATGTTGACTGGCTTCAAGACCCATCTGGGACATGGGCGGTTCCTGCCCTGGATGGACCCCATTTGATGCAAGGCTGCTGCACGTGAATGATGCTGGCGCCACTGCGAGTGGGACCGCAGGTCACGGGGGGGCGGGTTGCCCCTCACCGAGGGCCATCAGAAGGACGCTGCGGTTCAGGAGACGAATTCATTGTGCTCAGTGGCACGGCGAGGAGGACAGCCTGCCGCTGCAGCCGGCTACGGATGCGGGACATCTGCCTTGCGAAATGCATTTCTGGCTTCACTAAGATGCGGACAAACTGGGAAAAGATCAGAGGAGGGCGACGGAGATGATCGGGGACTGGAAGCAAAGCAGATCTGTGAGGAGAGAGTGAAAGAGCTGGGCACGTTTACCCTCAAGAAGATTGAGGGAGATGTGGCAGCACTTGGCAAGTCCTTGAGAGGAGGGCCGGGATCTCTATGGAATCGTGCGCTGAAGGGACAGGCACCAGATTCCGGCTAGACGTCAGCAGAAACCCAGTGATGGTCAGCACAGCGTAGCAATGGACCCGGCTGCCTGGGGAGGCGGCGAGAGGCACCTGGGCAGCCCTCGGGCAGGGAAGCTGGCTCAGTGGAGACTTGGCCTGCACAGGTCACGGGGCCCGATGCTCTCACAGGCCCCTTCCAGCTCCACTCTTCTATGCCTGACGCGGCAAGCGGCGCCGCGTTTCTCCCGCGTGAGCTGCTGCCCCGCGCCACAAGCCGTCCGAAGCCTCTACCTGGGCGGAGCTGCGCCATCGGATCGGGGCGGCTCTGCCTGGGGAGGGGCCCTTGGGCAAGAGCCGCCTGGAGCAGAGCCCCCCTGCCCCACCAACCTGTGTCTTGGCCTGCCTGGGCCTCGCTCTGGCCCAGGCAATGGCGCTGAGTGGGGGGGGGGGCGGTCATAGCACAGAGCTGGCCGTTGGGCCCAGCCAGCGGCTGAGCAGCCATGCCTCTCGGAAGGCCGTGCAGCCGCCCTGGCCCCCGGCCCCTGGCCCCCGGCCCCCACCTGCCAAGCAAGCAAGAGCTCCGACAAGGAAGTGGGGGAGACCCAGGGCAGCAGGGGAGCAAGGCTGGGGGGAGCCAGACTCACTGTCCGAGGGCTCAGGGAGCTCATCCAGAGCCCCCCAGGGATGGGGGGGGGCTCTTTGCAAGTTGTGCCCGTCGCCCCACCCCACTGGCTTTGCACACAGTCCCCTGGGGTCACAGGCCTGAGGGGCTGCGAGACACCAACCGCAGCTCCACCAGCAGCGGAAAGGCTAGCGATCGAGCAAGGCCAGGGGAGGGGTATGAAGTCAGGAGATCGAAATGTTGTCCCTAACCTGTTGATAAAGGCTGCAAAATCTCTCCCCCCCCCCCCGCCATTTTCCTCCCTAACTCCCAGATTAAATCACGGGGAGGAATGTGGCTGCCCCGCCCAGCCTGGCCTCCCAGGACACTGATGCTGCTCCGTGGGGCAGCCCTGTTGTCCCGGCCCCACGGTTTTCCTCGGAGAATTAACGGCAGCAAACCATCAGGAGCAAAGGCAGGACGCAGCTTAGGACAGTCAAAGTGCCGATTGCAGGCTTGCTGTGGGAATTAATGAAGCATGGCGAGGAGGCTGTAATGGACCCCCACCCCCCATGGGGGCAATTTCTGTTTCCTTTTAATTATCTGTCTCTGGCAGCCTCATCCTTCTGAGCCAATAATCATCGTGCTGACACAAGGCCGCCCTCCTCATGGGCGAGGAGATTCCCCACCCCAACCGAGTGCCACCAAATACGTGTTTGCTCTTTTCCTGCCAGACAGAAGCACAGGCAGGTTCCACGCACGCATTGGGAGCTGAAGGCACAGCTTCCTCGCCGTGAATACGGAATCATGGGAGCGCGGCTGACTGGGCAGAGGTCGCAGGACAGATCCAGCCCTGGCCATCCCGGCTGCCAAGGCTCACTCTGCCAAGGCGAGTAAGGGGAGCCAAAGGCAAGCCATGCGTTTGCCCCCTTCTAAGACACTCAACGATACGCTTATGACTGACCCCTTCCCTCCAAAAGTTCCATGAGCATCAAAGTGGCGAGCGGAAGGAACTCACTGTTCCCACTGAGAATGAGGAAGGTCCTTTCCCCGGCTTTCACCCAGCGGAGCTGTGGGAGTTGTGGACTGCGCCGTGGGGGCGAGCGCGGGCTCGAGCAGGCACAGGAGCAGCCCCAGAGGTGCCTCCCACCGGCCAGTGCAAGGCTGGGCCGGGCGTGCGTGCAAGCTTGGCGGCCCCCAGGGGTCCATCCTGCGTCGATGGCCAGGCTTGGCAATGTGCTGGTAGGCCCTCGTCCAAGGCACGTGCCCACGCTGGCCCTCGTGAAGATCTGCTGTCCGTCTGCAGACGTCACGGAATCGCAGACAAGTAGGGTTGGCGGGGGCCCAGGAGGCCATCGGGGCCAACTCCCTGCTGGTGCGGGTGGCCAGTTTGCACCATCCCACTCAGAGGACTGTCCAGACACCTTCTGAATGTCTCCAGCTAGGGAGAGCCCACAACACCACCCAAACGTGCCAGAGTTCTGTCATGGCCTCAACACAATTTTGGGTGGGTGGGAGAGAACTAGAATTAGGCTACAAAACGGTTGGCACTTTTCTGCATGCTCTGCCTCCTGAGTCATCGCTGCTTCACACACGGTTCATCGACAGGTTGTTGATTTTGAATATTTGCACTGCCTTGTGGTTTTAGATTGCAGCGCTTAAACGTTTATGTTTTCTCATGCTGCATGTCACGCTTTTAATTGCTGGGAACTGTTCAGAGAATTTTAGGTGTCGAGCAGTATAGAAAAATAACCAATGGATTCTACCACTGAGGCAAAAGGGCTCGGGCCAGCTTTGTACGAAGAGCAAGCCCCGTGGCTCTGCTGAGATGCAAGCCCTCGAAGTAAAGGCGCACCACCCACCTCAGCTGCAAGCAGCCTGCAGCCTGCTTACTGCTCCTTTCACATGGGCGGCCGTGTCAGTCTCCGGAGGCAGGGACAGCGCTCCAGAGGAGAGAGGGCGTCCGCGGAGCTGGGATAAGAGAAGGCAGGGAACTACCAGACACGGGGACACAGACAGACCGTGTGCAGTAGAAAAGTTAGGAAACCAGGGGCCTGTGAAACGGGACAAAGGCAGGGAAAATCTCTCACACAGAGCCCAGGCGAGAGGAGAGCCTGAATGCTGCCAGTGGGAACACACCCAGAGGCAGAAAGGTGCTTGGCACATGGATGTAAAAGCGTCCCGGGGATGTGGTTTCTTCAGTTGTGCTGAAGGCTCTTGGGTGTGAAGGGGACTGGTCCCCAGTTTGAGCCCTGAACTGCCTGTGCGACCTCTGAAGATGTAAAGCGCTTTGAAGCTTGGCTCTGCTGAACCGAAAGCCTTTCATGTGCCGCAGCCCCAGGTGGATCTCAAACACCTTTCGTCTGGTCTCCACAGACCTTCCTACGCTGCTGCATCAAACAGCCACAGGACGTGAGCCCGCGGAGCCCTGGTCACCGAGAGCCGTCATGGAAACATTTCCAATCCAGGGAGCACCAAATTGTGAGCACGAGGAAGAGTACGCACCACAGAAGCAAGCGTATCAGCCCAATGATAACGGAGGGGCCGACTCCTGGAATGGAGGGGCCACTCCAGAAAGTGGGTTGGAACCGTAAGGCCACAAAATCCTGCTGTGTGAATCACCACAACCGCGCATCAAAACAGCACCTGTGACTCCAGAGAAGTGAGCGTTCTTCCCCGCATCTTGTCTTCTTTCTTCGCCACCGGAGCTTTTTGCTTTTCCTTCTCCTTTGACTTTTCCAGCTTGTGGAGCTCCTTCACATAAGCATCATAGATTTCCCACTAAGAAAGACACAGCAAACCATCTTAGACGTGGTATCACAGAATCAGAGACTGGGCTCACAAGACCCCTTCTGAGTCCCATGAAGCCTCGAATAGGGCAATGCTCAGGGTATCGACCCACCTGGGCCTGGATACACTCGCTAAACGCTACTGATTCTTTTTGCCCTTTGTTCTGTTTTGCCGTTTGTTAAAACTTACGCCCCGCATCATAGCAGGGCCCTCACCTATAAAAAGGCATTCAGACTGGGAAATGGTTTTTGTTTTTCTGAGTGGGACACATACAGTGCCACTCGGGCGCTCTGGGCGAGCTGCTGGCGGCTGAAAGAAAGTTTTCATGAACTCTGCGGGGAAATGCTGCACCAAACAAATGTCTCACAATTGTGAGAGATAATTTGTGTGTGTGGGGGGGGTCCTCCCACAGTGCCCCCCGGAATACCCGTGGCAGGACAGAGGGGGCGGAAGGGGGAGGAAGGAGGCGGACTACCCACAGGGGGTCCAGTCGTCTGCCTGGCCCACTGCAGGTTTTTCGCAGGCGGGTTAGCACGAAAAGCCCTGCGAGCAAATCGTGATCTGAGCCCAAGGCAAAACACGCCTCTTTGTGCTTCCCCAGGTTAAGGCCTCCAGGAAGAGTCAGAAAACCACAGGCGACTGGTGCCCACACAAGCTGAGCTGCGTGTGGAAGCAGGTGATCAGGCAAGTGCACACAGAGCGGCTGACGGGCTGCGAGGGAGCGGGTCGCCAGCGAGGCCAACGAGCGGACAAGCCGACAGAGAGAGGGAAACTGGGGCAGAGCTAGCGGGGCGGACACACGCAGGACCAGAAGGCCCCTGGGCCCAACCTGTCCGGGATACTGGCCAGATGAGAGGGAAGCAGGGGAAGGGCAGAATCCTGCTAGCCCTGGTGAGAAAACACTGTCCCTTTTGCCCCGCCGGTACATCACAAGGGACTCCACCCAGCATACAGCCCAGAAGGCTCAACTTCACAGGGATGCAAGGGGAAAAGAACACAGGATGGGAGGGGAAAGAAAAGAAGAGAAAAGAGAACTGAAAAAATGTTACATGTTATTTTACATTCATGGAATGTTGTAGGACAAATGGGATGATGTTCCACACAAAACGTCTCAGCTCTGTTAGGACCACTTTTACCGACTGCACTCCAGCCATGCCATCACTGCAAGCAGCCTTAAGGGATCCCCACTACTTGGCTGGAGATCTGCATTGGCTCTGGCACTCTGAGTACAAACAGGGGTGTCTGCTTAACGAGCACCTGGATATAATAAAGAGACGTCCCTTTCCCTCTGTCTGCATGCCGGGAGAAATACTGAATCCAAGCTCTGCCTTGGATTCTGCAGCATCTCAAGCACAACAGACAAATCAGTGGCAATTGGAACGATCGTCGCAGGGGAAAATAGGCCAATCCCATTAAAAATACCCAACCCAAATCTAAAAAGATGACTGGTTGAAATCCATCCGCAAGGGTCACTTCTCCTAAACGGTGCTATTGTTTCTAAGATGCGGCTTAAAGGGACGAGCAGCCCCTGTGCCCGGGACGCATTCGGGAGCTGCTGTAACCAGCATCCCCACAACGCCTGCAGCACCAGCCAGGGAGAGGGGCCTACGTGTGTCGTCCCCCAGGCTGCCCGCCGTTCCCCGGGCTGCTGAAACACTGGGGAGCAAATGCCTTTATTCCAAGCATGGAGGGCCACGTGCTGCATTTACCTGGGAGCAATTTGCTCAGTATCCAGTGGGACCTGCCTCTGCACACACACGGATACGCTTGTCCCGGAAGGCGGTGGGCAACTGGCATTCAGCGAACGAGGGAGCAGCACTGCAGGCATTTCAAGCCTTCGGGAAATGCACAACTGGCCACCTGCTCTGGCCCCACAATCCTCAAGGCTGCCAGTCCACAAACACCAGTGGACTTTAGGGATGAGGTGCCCAGGCCACTGGGGCACGGCTGGCGTTAACGCAGATCACCAAGGAGAGAGCAGTTACCTGGTTGGCAGTGGCGGAGAAAGTAGCTCTAGGCGGGGGCTCCATTTGACACGCCCGCTCCTGGAAGAAAGGATTTCGAGTGGCACACGGTTAATCTGGCAGATCAGAAAAGCAGCGTATGTTTAGCCTGCCAGAAAGGGCCAGAATGGGGAACCCCGCAGGGAAAGTGTAATGCTGATTTACCCAAATCTGTCTGAGGGAGGGAAGGGAGTTGCACGGTTTGGGGGTTCCCAGCAATCTGCCAAGGAAGGCCGGCCTGTTGCTGAGGCGAACGCCGGCGTGCAGGAAACAGAAGGATTTAGAACAGAAGAAACACGGAGTTCAATAAAAAGGTTGCACGTTTCTCTCAGGTAAAGAGTGACTGCTTCTGTCCCAGGAATGATGTAACCTGAACGGCAGCATGCACTTTTTAGCACTGTACAGCCCTTTGTGGAAAGCTTAGAATTGTTTCTCCCTCACCTGTTTTAGAGGGAGTGTTCACCTCCCCACCTGAGGTCTCTGGCAAACGGCCTGCGTGGATGGAGAGTGTGCGGCTGAGGAAGAGGCAGCCAGTCACCCGCCGGGAGCTGGGCCTGCACCACCCGGATTTAGCAGGATGTGGCAGAGGGAAGCAGGGTGCCTGGTCACTGGTCTCTGAGTGGGAGGCAGGGCCAGGCGGCGTCCTGTGCCCAGAGGAAAAGACTGGCGCCGCGGTTCTTCCTCGCTCCATTTCAGAGCACTTTATGAGGACTGGCATCCCGCGGAGGCAACACTGGCGTGCTCGCTCCCCTGAGACTCAGCTGCACTGAGCTCAGCAGGGCTGGCTGTGGGACATGTGATCCCACCGTACCACGGCTTGCTCATCCGCAGTTACAGCCTGCTCCACCCCACATTTTGCCTGAAGCAAGAGGACACGGCGCCATACCTGAAATCAACCTCTCAGCACAAACCGGAGCCAGGGTGACCCACGCCTTGCTTCCGTTTTGGGGGCCCTGCCTGCTGCCCCAGTTAGAGATGCCAACAGGCCTCCCGCAACTCCTTGCCGCCCCTAAAACCCTTTCAGCCTCTGACCCGTATCAGGATGTCTCGCCCTTAAATCTTGCCACTCAATTTTAGGCCGCATCCAGTTTGATAAACCTTCCCCAAGATTCTTTGCCCTGTAGCTCATTTTAGCATTCTTGTGACATTCGTGGCTAAATGGACAGCTAAGTGGAACCACCGTGCTCAGAAGCAGTAACTTGACCATCGGATGCTGCAGACAAACAGGGACGAGATCAATTATCCTGCCAGCTCGTCCAATTTGCTGCGACATCTGGCTGCTTAAGACAGAATGCCAGGCTGATCCAGAAAGCGATCCCTTATGTTCTCCTGGGTCCTTGGACGCAGAAAGGCGATTCTGAAAACCTTTCCCTAGCTCACATTTGAACCGCTTGTCAAACGTTGCTTGAGAAAGGGTACCGATTGCGCGGCAGAATCCCTGAAAGGGCACCGATTGCACAACGGACCTGCACGATCAAATTCCAGGCAGTACACTTTGTGGCTTGCCAAAAATCTCCATTTCAAATGGAGGACAGCTCTTGAAATCTGAAGCATCTTTGGAAAGAGAAAGGGAGAATTCCTGCAACAGATTTACAGAGAACTTGAAATAATAGGCATGGTGTTCTTTCTTCCCCAGGCATTCACAAATGCTGTAGTTTCATCAACCAGATTGATTTCAAGGGCACCAGAAAGCTTGCACAGAAACGGAACAGCTCTCTGTCACTGTGCCCCTCAGAGCTAGAGGCAAAAGCTGGTCAACATCTTTCATTCCCATCAGCAGCTACTCCAGGGTCCAGAGAGACACAGACATATGCCAGGGGCAATGGAACAGCTTACCCTCACTGGGTTGTTGAAGGTCTGTGAAGCTCTCTCGCTGAAATTAAACTGGTTGGTGAGCTTTCGCTCTTGCACTGGCTGGGGACGCGGCTCCTCTTCTTTTTCTTCTGGGGCAGCGGCCTGTAGCAGGAGAAACAGGGCTGGAAGTGAGGACCAGATGGCGCATGCTTTTCCAGGTGGCTGTGGTGGCATCTGCAGGCTTAGGGGGGGTTTGTGGAGCAGGGCCCACAATAAGCCTGAAGAACGAGTGACTCCCCATTCTGACAAAAGCAGCCTAAGGTGAGCAGTAACTGTACCTTTCATCTTGGAAGGCTGAAAGAACATTCTGGCAAAAGCCAAAGAAAAAACCGCCAGTGGCATTTGCTAATGCACTTTTCACATTTTGTGCCACAAATTTCAGCTTCTTAGTCCTCAAATCTGTAATGCCTTTTCTCCTGAAGAAAAACTCTGCAGTCCAAAACGGGGTGGAGTTCTTGTACTGACGAGATTTCTATGGACCCATGTAGGTCTGCAGCTGTTCTTACTCTTAGCCTGCAGAGACTCCTTGTTTCTGGCAAAGCAAGGAGGCCCTAATGACCCTTCCAGCCTAGAGCTCTTCCCTGGCTTCCAGGACCCCCTTCTCACTTCCACGCTCCCAGGTTCGCGCGCAGCTGCCCAGCCTCCTGTCCCAGGCCGCAGGACGGGGAAGGGCTCCGTTAAATGCTGCCCTTGCTTCGCTTCCTCACTTGTCTTCCCCCTGCAACCAGTCCCTGACCAGTTGCTCCTGTGGCTCAGCTGGGCTCCCAAAATTCCTGCCCAGGTGCCTCCTGTGCAGCCAGAGGGGGAGCAGCATCCAGCCCCTGCCCAGGGCACGTTCCTGCATAATTCAGAGCCTGATGCTTCAGGAGCTTCTGGTGCACGCACCAAAGTTCGTATACATGCAGAATGCTCTGGAAATGGCCATCCGCTACAAAGGCATATAGAACTTGAACACAGAATCTCACTTTTTCTTGGTTTTCTGATTTTCCTCACATACACGCGCACACACACGTGCGTGCACACACACACACACACACACACACACACACACACACACACACACAGTAGCAGTTGCACATGACCATGAAGTGTTACCGGCTCTTCAGGTTTTTCTCCGCCTTCGCCTTCGCCTTCGCCTTCCGCTTCAGCTTCTTCTTTAAGTTCTGCATCCAAGGCCTCAAAGTCCACCACAGTCGATGAAACAGGGACCATGGCTGAGAACAAACGGGGAAAGATGGCGAGCCAGGACAAGAGACTTCTCCCAGCAGCTGGGGCCGAATCACATCCAAATGGACATGCTGGATGTCTCTGGCTTCCGCTCCGCAAACGCAACGGCCGTCGCGCAGGGTGGGAGCAAGCGCTGGGGCTCCTGCAGGCCCACCTTCCTCTGCTGGAGCCAAAGGAAGCATGCTGGCTCCTCTCGATAGCCTTAATTGTGCTGCGGTTGCCCCCTCCAGCCAAGTCGATAAAACCCGCCTCTCACGCTGGGTCCTGGGCACCACGCAGAATTACACTGAGAGCACTTTGCCTCTAGTTATTTGCATGACCTCCATAGGCTGCATATTTGAACTGACTTTCCTGGCAGGGAGACCCACTGAACTCAGTGGAGTTCATTTCCTGCACAGAGGGCTATGGGACTACTTTTAAGGTATCTAGGGAGAAAGGTCTTTACTGAGACCGAAACATGCATTTCCCCGTCTCTCTCAGGGTAACGAAAGGCACTCTTGGCTGCAAGAGCAAGCAAGATGAGGCTCCCGGTATTTTTAATCCGGACTCCCTTAATACCGGTGTGCATCCTTGGCTTGCGGGGGCAGGCTGGCCAAAGGCGTCGGACTGGCCTCCTCTTCACGTCTCGACGGACAGCAACGCACAGACCTCCACACAACACTCCCAGCCCCAGACGCAGGTGCGCTTCCCCTGCGACCGACAGCAGGCGTCGCTGGCGCAGTGCTGAGTCCACGGGAGGGCACCCTCTGGCCCGCGGAGTCCGTGCTCCGGCCTGCGGACGCCAGGGCTCCCCCCGGGCCGGGCCCCTTCCTCCCTACGCCCCACCCCGCGCCTTGTGGGCTCTGTGAGGAATGCCCTTGCCGTGGTCGGCCTGCGATAGCAAGGGGTGGGGCGGAGTGGCCGCAGCTGCTGCTGCTCCTCTTCTCCCACAGAGGACCGGCTCAGGGCTGGGGAAGTCACTTCCCAGCAGCCCGGCCTGCGGTCTCTTCACCCACAGTAGCCATGGCAAACCAGACAGCCGCTCAGGGCGCGGCCCGAGCACTCTGACGCCGGGGCTGGGGCCCCTTCCTGATGCCGGCGGCCCACAGAGGGCAGTGGGGGCTCCTCCCGCCCGCCGGCTCCCCAAACCCACCGGCAGTCGTGCTCTGCCTCATGCTCTGCCGTCGCCCCTCGTCCGAATCTCTGAACACCAGGTTCCCGCAGAGAGAGAAATGGACTGCCAACTGCTCCACCACCGAGGTTTGCCTGTAGGCTCTCTCCTGCAGGGAGGCAGGCAAAGGGAGGGCAGGAGAGGAGAGGAGGGACTCCAGCACACTCGCAAGGAAACCGGGCGCGCAATTCTTGCGACATTTTGGCCGCCCTGCTGACCCTCTGGAGCCCGTTTGGGCAGAGCCATGGCTCGGCGGCACGGCAGCTGTTTTGCAGGCAGATGGTTCTCCAGGTGAAGCTGGGAAAGACCTTCACCTGAGTTCTTGGGAACAGACCTTATGAACGAGAGGGGCCAAGAGTCTGGCTGGGTTTAAGCGGCTTCCAGTGCTCCTGATCAATTGGTGGAAGAAGCCTTGAGGGGACGGATGCCGCCAGCTCCAGCCTGAAGAGAATCTGCTGGCTCTGTAAGCCGGACGGGGCATCCGCAAGACCCCATAAAGCGCTGGCAGCCAGACCAGCTCCCCGGTCTGTGCAGCATGCCTTGGCCATGCCCCCCGCCCCCTGCATGGGAGCCCTGCTCCGGACTGGAACGCCTGCCTGCCTTCGCCTTGCAGCAGTTCTGGGTCCCTGCACTCCTGGCTCTGGCTCCAGTTCCGCCCTTGCCTCTCTCACTTCGCTGCCTGGCCAGAACCCCTCGTGGAGGAGCCCCATGGTCACCCGCAGTCCACGACGGGGGACAACTGCATCTGTTTGGGCAGCAGGGGCCTCGATTGCTCCCGGGAGGAAGGGCTGCTTCCTGCTGGGCCCCAGGGACTGCCCGACGTACGGAGGAGCCGGGGGCCAGGCCAGGGGCTCTGCCGGCGCAGCCCTTGCCGAGTTACTTCTCCACACTGAGAGCCACGCTGCACCTGACTGCGCCATTATGCCTTTCATGTTCTGTGCACCGACCCATTGCTTTAGTTGGCTTTACCTGGGACATCTGTCTTTGGCTTTAATTCATTTATGGAACTGTTTAATTTTATACCATTATTTTCTCATGTTTAATTTGTTGCAAGCTCTCCTGAACATCGTTTCAAAATGGAAAGGTAAGGTATACGTGTCCTATAAGCAAACAGACCTAGCTTTGGGATTAATGAGAATTTGCCTACGCTTAGGCGGAGGCGGCATTCTGAACTTGCTTTTCATCCCATGTTACTGCCTTGGCCCCCTTAGCAAAGCTGCGGTAGCCCTGGGGGTGGGCAGGGGTGAAACCTGGCAGAGAGGTACCTGGGCACACGTGGTGCGTGCCCACGCACACTCAGTGCCAAAGCAGAGAGGCCCCAGGAAGGCCACGTAAGTCGGCTCCTGCACGGAGAATTCTGTTGCAGGCGCGCCACTCAGTTCAGGAGGGCAAATGGCAAAGGCTGTTGCCCCACATAAACTGGGGCTGCCCCCCGGCACGTGCCTCGGAACCTCCAACAAGAGTCAGGGGCAACGGGGCTCCACCGGCAGACAAATGCTCGCAGCAAAGCTCGTGGAAAAGAGGTGGCCGGAAATGGCGTGGAAGGAAGAGCAGAGGGTGCCACGAGGCTGAGCCGGAGCCCAGCCACTCCTGAGCCTCAGCCCACGGAAAGCAGAAGGTTGTTTCTGCCTTTTGTGTTCTGCAATGTCACCTGTGTATATCTTTCCATTACAAACTCGCCTTGAGCATCCGCTGAGATTTTGAAACTGACCTTTGAATCCATCTAGTAACTAATTGCTGCAATTTAGTCAAAAATTGGCATTGATCGCTCAAGAACACATTTTTCAGAACTCTCATAAATGACATGAATCATTCTCCGCCTGCTTTGACTACCCGCAAATGAAAGAACTTATTCTCTTGCGTCAGGCACTCTGACTGGGCTTATGTCCATACATCCCAAGTAGCTGCTCTCTCTCATTTCCCGGTGATCAATTATGTTAATATACTTATTGATTTGTTTAACTTCTATTTAAACCCCTCAGAAAATGTCAATGGCACAAAGTAAAAAATGAAAATAAATATAGCCTATGTGAAAACCCAACTGCAGAATCAAGAAGGGAACCAGCTGCAAGAAGGCCCTCGATGCCAGGGCCAGGCCTCCCATTCGTGCCACACGGAAGGGACGGACAGTGGCTTAACTGTAAGACTTCCCTAGAGATAACGTGCTGGAGGTTCCACTGCAAATGCTCTCCAGCTGTTCTCCTGCTCAGGTCAGCAGCGACTCTTGCCTTCCGCCCTTCCAGAGGTGCTGCAAGACTGAGCACAAGTCCGATCCTGAGTGGGACCGGGGAAGTGAAGAAAACCCGCTGCTCACACCAGGCCCTGAAGACTCGTATTGGCCTAGCCTGCCCAGAGGGCTGGAGGGTTTGCTGGGCCCTTTTCAGCTTCATGGAGTTCTTTGTTTTGATTTTTCCTCTGTTGGAACCAATAGGGTGGTGGGAAGCTCTCCTACAAGCCCTGCGGACCTAACTTGAACCAAACTGAACTGTCTGCATTCTCCCCCCACCCACCCCAAAGGCCCTGTTTCAGGTCCCCACCTTTGTGGGACCTGGTGGGGACACCACTGACACTAATTTCCCCAGCCACAGAGCTTTCCACGTGTAGAATTGGGCAGCCACGGCAGATGACACTCCTTCGGAGGCGCTCCCTCCATCACGTCCTGCCCCCAAGCCAGCGATCTGGGAGCCAAAAATACTCTTTGGCAGTTTCCACAGGCTGACTTGAAGGGAGGCTGTTTGGCATCACTATTTGTGGGTGCTAAGTTTGCCATCGGGTCCCTGACTGTAAGTTTTTGTTTAACTCTAGTCTTCGTTGTCTTTGTCTGTAAACTACCTAAAGCCAAAGAAAAGCAGTCCAAGTATGTGGAATATCTAAACATTTATAGCTTTTTTATTGCATATAAAGCATCTATATCCTCTTGCCTCTTTAATTTGAAAGCAGCAATCAGGATAACCTCCTATGAACAAAAGACTCACATCGCTCACGGAACTCAGCAAAGGAAATGATACTTACTTTAAAACTGTATCTGACGATGTTCTGTGGAGCATGCGGGTTATTGGCGGTCAGAATGCGGGTTATCTCCTCTTTCAGTTCCTGTGGCAAGAAAGACTGACTCAGCCTCCTCTACAAGGGGAGCATTCAGAAATAGTTCAAACGTATTGTATTTCTTCCTCAGAATTTGTGTTACACTGAACTGTTGCAGAAGCAGCAGGAGACTTCTCAAAATGAAATATTTTTATTACAAAATTGTAATACTGATTATTTACATTCGCTGAGATCATAGAGCTCACATGAGCATCGTTTTTCACGGTCTTCATACAACAGAACTCCCCCCTGCTACATTTCTGCTATGAGAAAAACAAAGGTTCTTCTTGAATGGGAAGAACTGAACCGATCAAGTAGTTTCCCCAGTATAATTACCAGGTGCAGGAAATCTGCTTTTCAGTAATAAATGTGAAAATGTTATATTGCCCCATTTACCATGCAAAAATGAGTAATGCCTATAGCCTTTCTCTTCTACAAAATGTCATCTGCATGTGCTTGTCAGTAAAAGTTTTTTTCCTGACTACCAAGCAACTCTTAACAAAAGAACACCTGCTGGATAAGTATGACCTCTGCTGTGCAAACAAACGGAGCAAATCAGTTTGGTTGTATGCTTTGTGTTCTCAAGGGAAGGTTGTGTGGCTCATTCCTTCAGCAAATCCAATTAAAACGAGCTCATGGCACAAGAGCTAAAAAGTTGTGGAAACAATCTTACCTGGTTGTGCAATACACCACACTCCGCTTCGGTTCCTACCAGGAAAGCTCGCAGCCCAGCAAGACAGCAGGTGCTTTAGACCAGGGATGGGGAAACTCCAGCCCACTAGGACCCTGAGCCTGCCCCAGCTGCTTCCCCAGGGCCTGCCCCTCCGCCCAGGCAGGGCAGTCTCTTTGGATCAGGTGATAAGGGATGGCTCCACAAGGAAGAGACACTCTCTGCTCATGCTGCTCTCTCTCACACACAGATGCGCATGCACACTGTATTTGGGCTTCTTAAATGCCTCCGCTGAGACAAAGCGGGGTTTTGAAAAGCCTAATGGCCCCGTGGGAAGGGTAATTTTGGGGGACGGGTGCACCTGTGTGTGAAAACGCCATCTGCGGAGGCCCATGGGCCACCAGTGCGTCACCATGCCTATTCGTGACCCACCGCCTCCAACAGGCTTGCTTAGGCCCAGCAAGGTGCTTGGGACTCAAGGGGTTCGCCCGCCCAACACAAGGCTCCAGGGTCGGTCCCTGCTACTAATAGCAGGAGAAATCAAGGGAAATGTCAGTGTGCAGCCTTGGAAGCTGCTGTCAGCCAGAGAACTGGCACGAGTGGAACAACAGCAGGTGGCAGCTTCGGTCACGCGCGCTGCTTTCCCTTAATGTTTAATAACCAAAGCCGAACCTGGAAAGTGACGGACGCGCTTAAGCCGATTTACATGCTTTGCTTCAATTATCATCACATCGCTTTGCAACAAGCACCTGAAGTGGTTGGGGGGGGGGAATTAGAGGTGCCCCATCCAAGTTCAGGACAGGCAGACTCCAAAGAAGCACAGGTGTGTCTTCAGACTTCCAGAGCACTCGGAAAAGTTAAGCAGAAATGGCTGGATCTGTGGCCACGAGAGCATGGAGGAGCATTTGCTCATGACAAGCAAACTGTAACTTGAGAGGAGCTGTGCAAGGCCCTTCACGCTCTCTTGCCAAACATGCTTGTTGCATCGCAACTCTACATACTCGGGAGCAGGCTAAACGTGCACAAGAACGGGAGGCACGGGAAGCAGCGCATGGCTAGGGAAGGGGACCGCAGCAGCCGGGCCCCCAGGACTGGGGGGCGGAACAGCCCTTCCCCACAGAGCAGGGGCAGCAGTCCCGGGGCTGGTGCCAGGAGTTCCTCTGTCAGGCACGCCAGTAAAGCAGGAATGAAGTCCTCAGAGAGAAGACACACGTGCCGACAACCAACCGGGTGTGGAGACGAATGAAAAAGAATAGCGGCCATTGCTGCGGGGAGTGAGGGAAGGGCAAACACGGGGGAGCCTGACTCTGAGCTGGGGGCAGCTGCTGCTTTAAAGGGCCGCATGGGCATTCCAGTCCTAAAGGCATTGCTCCAAAATGGAATGTGTGGAGGCCTCCTCTCTCCAAGACATCCAGAAGCCCCAAAGGGCTTCTGCGCTGCCTGTGCTTCCTGCATACAAGTTCCACACAACTTTCCTGAGCCGTGTGGAGGTTTTCACCCCTGCCTGGTCGTGTTGCTTTACTGTGGTGCATAAGCCACGCCAAGTACTCCTCCTGGTCTGTGAGCTTTGATCCAAGCAAAGGAAGAGCCGACTATTGTGTTTATTTCTTATTGGAGGTATCTGCTGTGTGCTTTCAACTGGGGCCTATCCTATCCACATCCAGTGTTGCATCTGCAGCACACTAGGCCCTGCTGGGGCCACTGGATCGTCCAGAACCAGCCCTGGACGGGCTGCAACAGATTTTGACTCTAGTCCAAGTGTACGCACAGCATCTGTCAACTCCAGCTGGTCTGGGGGCTTGATTAATGTCTTGGCCTGTGTCCATTCATCTGCCCCCTCTCCCAGCTCAACACCACCTTCTTCATCCTGGAACAAGAAGAACAGAGACCAACAATGAGTTCTAGGTAGCAATGATTCTGTTTTGCCAGAGTGACAAAAAAATCAACACATACCTTTCAATTTGGCATAATCTCAGATTACTGTCTCATTCGGGGCTTTGCTTTTTATACACCTAAATGGCCTTGGTCAACCTGGCTCGCTGATCGGCATCGCTTTCAGTATGAACCTGTCCAGAATTTGAGAGCAATTTGGGGGTTGCCTCCTAGGTGCCCTAGGGCAGGTACCTGGTTCCTTTATCATTTGCATGACAACTCAAAGCCACATGCATGAGGCCTCTGGCCGTGGGCTTCACGCCAGTTCCCACCCCTTCTGCTGCGTGTTGCCGTCATCTGTTTCGAGGGCAAGGCACATCGCTGACGATATCCAGTTGAGGAAAAGGCAACGGTTCGCTTTCAGTCAGCTAACCCAGTCCCAGTGCAAACGAAGCACCAGGGCACCTGGATTGCAGGCGGCCATTTTGGACCCGGCCCACACCAGACCAACATGAAACAAACACGCTCACAGAAATCCATGTCCTGCTCCAATGTGTCACTGGCTGTACTGTGCAAATCAGAATAAAACTTTAAACGCTGTGGGACTATATCTGTGAAAGGGGTTATTTAGTGTCATTCTCATCTTTAGTAGTTGAAATAACATTTCAGTATTTTTCCTTTTTAAAATGGTATGTTGGAATCTTACTGGAGCATTGACCAGGTCTCCAATATGCCTTCATGAATAAACTGAGGCAAATTTTGCCTGCTGCGAAAATTATTCAATTCAGTTGAAGCCTGAGCCCGATTTAAAGTGCCTGTTTTGACAGAGAAAGCCCTAAACGGCTTGGGACCTGGTTACTTGAGGGACCGTCTTTTCCAATATACTCCTAACCCGCCAGCTGAGATCTGGGAATGAGGTTCCTCTGAGAGAATCATCCCTAAAAGAGGTGAAAGGGATGGCGTCTAGAAGAAGGGCCTTCTCAGTGGCTGCCCCCAGCCTTTGGAATGGGCTTCCTAGGGTGGTCTGCCTGGGTCGTCTCTACTTTCATTTCGGCAACAGGCAAAGCCCGTCCTCTTTTGCAGTTTGCATGAAACCTGGATTTAAAAACTGATTTCCTCCTGTCTTCCCCCCCCCCCCCCCCGTACTTGTACTGTTTGATGCATATTGTTAGCCACTTAGAGAGTTCTGCCGGGACATATGCATCTGAAAATAAATGCATAATGTGCTACAACGCCTGATAAAGTTGTGCCGCTGGGCAAACGGCAAGCTGAATTAGAATAGATTTTGACATTTTATTTAGAGATATTTGCTGCATTTTTTTTTCTTATAGGAGGCATAGGCAATAATTGGACCCCTTACAACAGCTTTACTGGCCTCCCACTCAATGGCGTAAGAATCAGCAGTGCCCTCATTAATTTAAAAATAGTATAATAACTCAGTAGAAGTCTGATTTTTAAACATCTCATCATTAAGAGGCAAAACTTTAAGGGGCAAGAGACAGGGGACCTTAGCAAATCTGCAAATTACAACCCCAAGCAGATTGGAGAGTGGATGGCAACAACTGACATACCAATTTTACAAACATTTATTTGATGCAGCAAAATTGCAGCAACTAAGAAATAACCTAATCAAGAGCAATTATGATGGACAGGTGAAGAGAAGGCAATGCCTTGTTCATCAAGATGCACAGTCTCTGAGCATCAAACAAACCAATTTCAGCCAGACCAGCCTGGCAGTAGGGCAAAAAGCCTATCAAAACTGTCACCCCCAACTTCTGCAGCAAGCATTACTTCTGACATTGTCTTCTTTTTAACAGTTCATAAAGTAAATTAACAACTATCTAATACATTTTAATTTAATGTGTATATTCAAATCATGTTGGACTTTCCAAACATTTCATTAGACCACCTCCGACCCCTGCTGCCCCGATATGGTTTCACTGTCATGAAAGTAAAGCCAATGGTAGCACACTGAAAAAGGAGTGCTATTTTGTGAGGTTATAACTGTTACAAGGACCGGATTTGCAGTGAGCATAATGACTTTTCTGGAATTTCAAGGCACATTCTTCACACTTTGCAGTACATCGTTGCCTACTCCTTCCCAAAATAAGCTCTTTTCTGATTTTTTTCTCTTCCTAAATAGAAGATGTCCATTTAGGATGGTGATGCAGTCAGATTTAATCATTATTTGAAGAAAGCCAGTTTCAGGGTCTCTAATTGTGTTCTGTCCAGTTCCTAAATTAGTCATAATTGAATGCATACTCCAATAACACAATAGACTGACTGCTCAGAGGCTCCACAAAAGAAAGTAATTTCAGAGTGCCACTTGTGTAAGATGCTTTAAATATGAAGAATGATAATGTGACACACTCGACAGAGAGATGTTAATGCTGTTCTTGCAGAATTAGCTAGAACTGCAGCAAAAGAAAATCAGTCTCCCTCAATTCCTTGACAGACAGAATAAGCTTCCAGAAAAATGGCATGTTGTTGTTAGTTGCGAAGTCGTGTCTGACCCATCGTGACCTCATGGACAACATTCCTCCAGGCCGTCCTGTCCTCCACCATCCACTTAAGCTCACGCCGACTGCTTCAGTGACTCCATCCAGCCACCTCATCCTCTGCCGTCCCCTTCTTCTTTTGCCCTCGATTGTTCCCAGCATCAGGCTCTTCTCCAGGGAGTCCTTCCTTCTCATCAGGTGGCCAAACTATTTGAGTTTCATCTTCAGGATCTGGCCTTCTAAAGAGCAGTCAGGGTTGATCTCCTCTAGGACTGACTGGTTTGATCACCTTGCGGTCCAGGGGATTCACAGGAGTCTCCTCCAGCACCACAATTCAAAGGCCTCAATCCTTTGGCACTCAGCCTTCCTTATGGTCCAGCTTTCACAGCCATACATTGCAACTGGGAAACCTATAGCCTTGACTATACGCACTTTTGTTGGCAGGGTGATGTTTCTGCTTTTTAGTATGCTGTCTAGATTTGCCATTGCTTTCCTCCCCAGGAGCAAGCGTCTTTTAATATCTTGGCTGCAGTCCCCGTCTGCGGTGATCCTGGAGCCCAGGAAAATAAAATCTGTCACTACCTCCATTTCTTCCCCATCTATTTGCCAGGAAGTGAGAGGACCGGATGCCATGATCTTAGTTTTCTTAAAGTTGAGTTTCAAACCAACTTTTGCACTCTCCTCCTTCACCCCATCAAGAGGCTCTTTAGTTCCTCTTCACTTTCTGCCATTAGAGTGGTATCATCTGCATATCTGAGGCTGTTGATATTTCTCCCAGCAATCTTAATCCAACTGGTGATTCATCTAGCCCCCCCCCCACTTCTCATGATGTGCTCTGCATATAAGTTAAATAGGCAGGGCGACAGTATACAGCCTTGCCGAAATCCTTTCCCAATTTTGAACCAATCAGTGGTTCTGTGTCCAGTTCTCACTGTTGCTTTTTGATCCACATACAGGTTTCTCAAGAGACAAATAAGATGGTCTGGTACTCCCATCTCTTGAAGAACTTGCCACAATTTGTTGTGATCCACATAATCAAACGCTTTAGCATAGTCAATGAAGCAGAAGTAGATGTTTTTCTGGAACTCCCTAGCTTTCTCCATGATCCAGTGTATGTTGGCAATTTGATCTCTAGTTCCTCTCCCTCTTCAAAATCCTGCCTGTACTTCTGGTAGTTCTCGGTCCATGTACTGCTGGAGCCTAGCTTGTAGGATTTTGAGCATCACTTTGCTAGCATGTGAAATGAGTGCAATGGTGCAGTAGTTGGAACATTCTTTGGCATTGCCCTTCTTTGGGATCGGAATGTAAACTGACCTTTTCCAATCCTGTGGCCACTGATGAGTTTTCCAAATTTGCTGGCCTATTGAGTATAGCACTTTTACTGCGAACTGAGATCATTCTGTCATTTTGGAGGTTGTATCCCAGTACTGCTTTTCCTACTCTTTTATTGACTATGAAGGCTACTCCATTTCTTCTGAGGGATTCTTGCCCGCAGTAGCATACCTGATGGTCATCTGAATTAAATTCACCCATTCCTGTCCATTTTAGTTCACTGATTCCTAAGATGTTGATGTTCAGTCTTGTCATCTCTTGTTTGACCACATCCAGCTTGCCTTGAGTCATGGATCTCACATTCCAGGTTCCTATGGAGTATAGATCTTTGCAGCATCGGACTCTCCTTTCACCACCAGATACATTGGCAACTGAGTGTCCTTTCGGCTTTGACCCAGTCGCTTCATTCTTTCTGGTGCTACTAGTACTAGCCCTCTGCTCTTTCCCAGTAGCATATTGGACACCTTCCGACCTGAGGGGCTCATCTTCCGGCGTCATATCTTTCTGCCTTTTGGTACTGTCCATGGGGTTTTCATGGCAAGGATACTGGAGTGGGTTGCCATTTCCTTCTCCAGGGGAACACGTTTTGTCAGAGCTCTCTGCTATGACCTGTCCGTCTTGGGTGGCCCTGCCCGGCATAGCTCATTGCTTCATTGAGCTGCGCAAGCCCCTTCGCCACGACAAGGCAGGGATCTATGAAGGGGAAAATGGCATAGGGATAAACAAAATAGGGGACAGGCAACCCATAGCAAAATCCATTCCATGATTCTGGAACCATCAACTCTTTCCAGACACATACCCAGTTTGCAACCCTCACAGCACCCCAGTTGTGTGAGGGAACTGCTCGTTGCAGATCCGCTTCAGAGTGGTTTCCCAGATGCTACAGAGCTCTCCAGTGTCTCTGCTGCTCAGTGCAGGTGCCCACACTCGGCTCTTGGGCAGCTGGCTGTGCCCTGGACTCAGTGCGCAGCTGGCTGTGGTACTTCGTGCTTTACTGCAGTTCCTCTGATGCAGGTCATTTTACAAGACTGGTGTTGAGGAACTCAAGCCAGGGACCCTGTAGCCAGGACCCAGTTGCCAATGCCACTGGGTTTACAGGTCAGAAGAGAAAAATTGTAGGAACTTCAAGCTGGGGGACCCTCAAATTCCCCTAATCCTAACGAGC